CAAGAATCGTCCTTTTTTAATACTATATTCTACTTGTGTTAAAAACAAAGTTAGTTCTAATTAATTATGTGAGCCCGGGCCCTGCATGAGCGTAGTAGAAATACTGGAAAAAGGCATGGCCCCCCAAAACAAAAATATTGGTGTGCCGGGCTTGCCAAAAGACTGGCCTCTACCGAGCCTAGGCCGGGCCACCCCAACAGGAGTTGTTCAAGCCCGATTTACACCTCTAGTCAGAACTCATAACCTGTCATTAGCAAGAGTTTGCTCCAATAAATTAAACCCCATGCATATCGACCTCCTCATTCTTCACCACCAAAACTCATCATGGGGAAATAATAAAAGATAAAGGAAAGGGCTAAAAGAAACAATCATATCGCATGGAGAAAATCCACAAGCACTCGTAAAATGAAGGGGCGTTGAATACCGATATATTTACATAGAACATTATACTTTTTGTTCAATAAGAAGTTATGCTAGGAGGACACTGAACATAATTTTTTTTTGGCTGAAACACACAATGTCATGCTAATATTTGACTCAAAAATCACCTTTTCAGCAGGCTGACCAACTGCAGTATTTAGAGAGTATCCAATTAGTCAGCTCGCGAGGCTCTACTCGGGTCATCAACCTCCAAATTATTGCCTGTCCAGGTCAGAGGGCAGGCTAAAGGGAAAGTGAGCAAAAGAGATCCTCAGGACAGGGGACTCGGCTTTCTTGTCATCAAACTTGTAGCCTGCAGGTCAATGGCTTGATCAAATATAGGTCATGAATGTACCAATAGATACGGCATAGAAAGAGCAATTTTTTGGTCATTTCTTGTTAGGCTGCATGTAATTGCAAAGTGACTGTTAAGTTTCATTATTATAGATCACAGAGGACATGGCAAGAACTACTATTGTGCTATGATAATCACTTATCTCAGAAATTTGTAGTTCCAACATCTACAAACATCATGGTATAGATTATAGAGTCCTCCAATTTTCTTTTGTGGGGAGGGGAGTGGCTGGCCTAATAATCAATTAATGGACATATGAGATCTAGAAGCATAAACTTAATAACAAAGAGTTGGCAAAAGAAAAGTTGTGCTTTCCTGTAGTATTTTAGGAGGGGAATCAAGTGAACATTAATCTCGCCAAGAATTTTATAAAAACAGAAAGCCTGAAAAACTCTTGAACCTTGAAGTGCTTCCTTGGCAGTAAGAGCGCATTTGGCATCAGAAAACTCAACAAAGCACAAGACCATAGCTTTGTCTCCGGTCTGCAAAATGACGGTTTGGTAAGAAATAAATTTAAGAAACAATAAAACCGAATGAAGGAATCAGGAAGACTGGCAATTGCATTGCATCAGTATAATGGTTCAAGCATTTGAGAAATTATGAAAAAGGAGCAAGAAGGCCATGGCTTATTCTGAAGTTGTGTACAAGATTCATATAGAAAATAATCCCTTTTTTTTCAGTATAACTACTTCTCACCATTCACCAGAGATGTATAGTCATTTCCAAATCCAATGGTCACTAAAATCTGAATATGTAACTCCCAACTGCAACATGCCATCTTTCTGATCATGCAGTGATATACATAACAAAAATGTGCCATGATTGCAAATAGAACACATATTCCACAAACATGTATAATCATTAAAGGCCATATCAATAGAAAATGACTACCTATACAAACTACTGGAAAATTGTAAACCATGCATAATCAAGCAAAAGATGAGAGGCCAACTTACGCGTCTAGGCTCCTTATGAACAACTCTCAGTTCTCTAAACCCAATGAATGGGCGAAAAAGATCTGTTTACTAGTCAAGGAGTAAGGTTAAGTATCAAAATACAGACACAGTCTTGGGATAAGAGAAGTGATCATGTTAGCTCAAATAATTATAAAACATCACTCTTTACCCTCGGAGGTGGGATTCCATAGGAGCAATATTTTGCCCAGAATGATATCTTAGCACAACTAAACTTTAGTCATGTGCTGTGAGAGAAAATATTCCTTAATTAGTGCTGGAAAGCCCCAAATACATTGTCAAGAACCAACAGAACACCTGATCTTTATCACTCACATAAACAAACCCTCACAAATAATATAAGGAGACAAGGAAAAGCATTAACAAAAATACAATAGCAAGGATACGACCTATTTCTCTTCTTGTACAGTCATTAGGAAGCCCGTCAACAAACAGAATGTTCGATTCTCCTGCTGGGTCTTGATTGCTCTCAACCCTTATCACAGAATTGGGCCTTTCAAAAGTCGCATCAGGGATGCCAGGACTAATGTGTGGAGCAGCAACTCGAGGATGACCTAGTAAATTTGGATCTTCCAAAGACAGGTAAGGTTTAATGCTTGTTCCAGTAAATGATCCATTAAGACCAGATTCATGACGAACGCCAGCAGTATCATCTACACCATAAGCCCCAGGACGAGATGGTAATATCTAATAAAGCCAAGATACAAACTGTTCATTGCACGCATTAAATATCTAGGCAGAAGACCAATTCGGAGGTGATACTTACATCTTTCTGAGTAAAATCTGAAAAACTACCCTGCAAACCATTGGAGCTATATGGGTTACGAGTTGGTAATATAGCTGCTTCAGATGATAAGTAGCCAGGAAATCTTGGTAAATGGATGCTTCCTGTTTCCATGCAACTAATTTAACCATCAGTTTAAATGATTAACACGTGAACAAAAATATTAAGCGAAGATAATCTTCCTTCGCAAGAGATCCAGCTACCTTATCGAAGATATAAAAGCTAATGTCATCAAAATAGGATGTTTTGGTTTCAGACTTTCAGTTGTACAATTATATAGTCTTTTCAGACATAGCCTACAGCTGCATTATGCAAAGTTACCATGTAATACATGAGGCCCATAACACAGAAAGTTCTTCAAAACTAGTTTACTCCCAGAAATGAAAACTAAAATCAGAGAACATTTTTGTTAACATATCTGCTCATAAAATACACAACCAAAAACAGTAACTGGAAAGTCAATCTTTTCTTTATGGTAACAATAATCAACAGGTGCTCATCATCTTATATACAATTATTCCATTGTTCTCCTTTACATAATGTGTCTTAGACCAAACATCCTCAACCAAGTTTCTTCAGTGCAGCCTAAACACATCCACCAAGCTCTCATTTAGTAACTGGATTGCAAGCACTTCCCAGACATAGAGCTTGTTTGGTAAGAATTTTAATCCAATTAAAATTGAAAATATAGCTGTTATTGGGTCCTACTCGTCTAATAAAAGTAAAAAACAACGGCTAATTTTTCAATTTTAATCTCTACCAAACAAGCTTATAATCTCTTTTGTATTTTTCTAGACTGTATGCCAGTAATATCTAAAGGAAAAAAAAGATAAGTGTGTTCAACTGATATATTAGAAATAATGCGTTGTTTTTTTCTTGATAATACACCAGTAACCAAGCCCCCTGTAGCTGAACATTATCAGATCATTAATTAAAAAAAATGTGCTGCAGTATAGACCAGGACTTCAAGCAGTAAAACTGTGTACAACAAAATTATCTTGAATGCATGACACAATTTCCCAACACAGAATTTTGCTAGCAAAGTCATTACAAGAACCATGGACATCAATGAGTTTCATAAAGCCACGGATCATCACAAAGACCACGGTCTCTTTTCTATCATAAATTAATTCAGCTAAAAAAACATACATGCTACTCAATACCACAATTCGCTAATAAATAAAATTCGTACTATTCAAGTACGAATTTTCAAACAAGTGATGCAAGAGCCAACTATTTATAAACCCAAAAAAATCGGGCATTACTTTCTTATAATTTTCTGTGAAATTACTGAAACAAAGTGAAAACTTCACCTTTAGACTGTCAAATATCAGCACCGTACAATAAAAAAAAATCTGCACCGAAGTTTTATTTTATAAAAATCAATAATTTATATGAATTTCAATGTTACTGATGAAGCGTTAATTGCAGATGCGGACAAGAGCGTGCGCGTATATGAATATTAATTAGAACTGAGGTGATACAAAATGAATAACTAACCTCTGTCAGCAGATGATGGAAGAGGAGGAGGAGGATGAGCAGCAGAACCGCCTCCGCCGTATCTCCAGTAGGGTTCCCCCATTTAAATTTGTTTTTGTAATTTTACAATTTTCTGCGTATTTCGGTCCTTTTATTAAGTTCAGGCTCAGCTCCTTGTTTGGGAGATTTTTGTATGAATATATGATTCTTCATTTTTTTAAGCATATAATTATTTTATTTTTAAAATTAATTTGTACTTTGTCCGTTTTGAGTAAAGTCACTTTGCTCGAATTTGGTGTCACCTCAGTTGATCGACCCTTAGATGTCACCTCAGTTGATCGACCCCCCTGTGTGTGTATTCGGTCTACCAAAGTATCAACCAAGATGTTCGTGTAACATTACTTGTCTGTTTTTGACTTATATACTTATTTTTCGTGTTTTATATTTTTGATCATTCGCTTAACAAATTTGAATGAGATTTATATTTACATCTTGAAAATTTCACCTCGCCAATTTGAAAACGAACTAGACAATTGTACTCGAAATCAAAATTATAACATCTTAACAAGGTCAAATTGATGTCCGGACTGTGAAATAAAACTCATGTTTGAATTATAAATATGAAAAAAAATATTTAAATAAAAAACGAATGAAAAAACGTAATTGTAATCGACATCAATAGAAAGAAAAGGAAAAGATGTATTGTTGAATCTTGTTGTGAATCCCAAACATCTCCATTGTCTTCTTAACCTCCAAGCTATTCTCCAAATTTTCAAGTTCAAAATGCTTCCCTTGTACCCTAACAGGAAATATTTATAATCGATTAAATTATAAAAATAGATAAAAGTGAATTGAAGATAAAAGTCAGATGTACTTCTGAATCATTCAAAATGTGTAGATAACAAATGATTTGAGCATTTATAGATCTTCTATAATTATGAGCCAAATATGGGTTAAGTATGAAATTACGTAATTGTGTAAAAGCTTCCTTCATATGTCGAGAACTCCTTGCATATATAGTTTCTTGATGTTTTTAATTATAATCATGCCTTTAAAGTTCCAAAAAAAAACCCTTGGGAGATGTACCAAGTTGAATGTATTTCAAAATTTGACTTTCAATTTCGCCGCAAGCAAAATTATCCAAATAATATCCACTTTCATAATTAAACATTTTGCCCTCGAAAAAATTGAAAATCTGTTTGGCGTGAAGATGGAAAACATACTTGAGTTGTTATAGATAACTTCAAATTGTAATCCGTAAAATGCTTTAAAATCCAAACTAGATAAGCTTCCAAATGGTTTATAAATTGCCTAGTAGAAAATCCTAGCATCTAATCTTGGACACTTCAAAACCATCCACTATTTTCATACATTTGATCCTTCGCTTCAATACTTTCTTTACACTAGGGGCGAACCCAGCACAAAACTTCAGTCCGGACGGACGTTGACCGTCGACAATTAACTATCGTAAGAAAGAGGTCATTTATTAATATTTAATTAAAAATTATTCAATATATATGTAAACGCACTTAATCGTAAAAAATATAGATTAACTGTTTTTGTTTTCAGTTGGGGGAAGTTTATATTTGAGATTGATGAGGGGTTGAGGATGTATGTTGCTTTATGATACCAAAACACTTTGAATTTGATCAACGGTCTCTTGGTGTTGTTGATTTTTCAAAAAGTTTCTTTAAAAAAATGGAAAAGTTGCTTCCATGTAGTCCACACATTTTTTTTCATTGATATTATTCTCTTTATTTTAGCTTTATTTATATACTAAGTATAACATATTTAATTGCGTAGAAAGATATTTTCTAGCATGTCTATTTCATAATATCTTAATCTTTTCATAGTTTGCAAACTGAAGATACATAAAATTAAAAATTAACTAAAACACGGGAAAAAGGAAAATAAACTCGTTTGCTGACTACAAACATGCGTATGTACTAATATGAATGCGACATTTGCCATTATCTTAAAAACTCACGTCTCATTGGTAGGTCTTTTAATAATTGGTAGATAGATATGCATAATTAAAAATGGTAAAAAGTTCAATCCACAATCCTATTTGCATGAATTCTCAGTAACAATTTGAAAGAAATTTAATTATAAAAATATACCCGAAGCTCTGTAACATCAAAACCAGCTACTTTTCCATTGCAGAAAAGTGTCAACAGTTGATTACTCCCACTATTCGTCATACCCAACCTCCAATTTAATAACTCAGAATCAGAAACAATGCAGCCCCATAAACAAACCACCAAAGACAAAGAAGCCAAATTTTCAAGTAGGACTTTCATATTTCTATTCTCCAAACCAGGAAAGCTCAATAAATTAAATTTTGTCGGTAATCCTGAAAATTCCAAGGGCGAGAATTAACGGCAAGCTTTAATTCCGTTAAAACTCACCAAACAAGCCAAAAATGCAATTGTTCATTAGAAAACCCTCATCGTCGATCAAGCTCCAATATCCTCAAATTACCCTCCGGCCAAGAAGAAGATAGAAATCTCGGCTCCTCAAATTTGAAACCCGATTTCTGGCCTGTAAAGTGCAGCTGTGCAGATATTGAAGATGAAAGTTATTTCATTTAATTGGGCCTCATTTTTTTAAAAAATGGCCCAAATCTCTCAGCCCAAAACAAATGGGCCAAAACTATATAAAAAAAAAGCTCACATGTGACATGTTCTTCTTCCTCTTCGACTTCTATGTTCTACTCTATTTTCTCTTTTCTTCAGTCAGTGATGCCCGATGGAATTGAAGGCTTCGACAGATCCAGCACGGGTAACCGTGTCCCCTCGCCGGGTGCTGGGTCTACCTTGCTTTACACATTTCTTTCTAATGCTCTCAAGATAAGATATTTTCGCCTTCAAAGCACTCAAAGTGTTATAAAAAACCCTCATTAAATAGTTTAATAAGTGTACAAAATATACTCGTCAATTAATAATATGTTTGTAATAATCTACGGTATCTAAAACTAATATTATAATTTCTTAAAAGGTATATAATTGGACTCTTTGTGGGCACCAGTATGACAGCTCTTGTACCCTGACCAATTGAGGTACATTTCGCGATTTACCTCATCCATAATGCTCTAGGGGTAGGGCGAGGCGGGTTGGGTTCAACCTTTTCTTTTTAATATTATAATTTCTTCTTACATTCTCAACTCTTCTAGTTGACAACACCTCTGACTAGCTCAACTGCAACATACAAGTGTATTTATGAGGTTTCACTTCCTCTTCCACTTTATTGCAATAAACACATCCATGTCAGTTTCCCATTATTTGAATGCAAGAATGACTTTTTCTACCCTTTTTTCCAGCACATGGGTCCCATTGTGAGAGAGAAGGTTTTTTAAAAAGAAGAAGAAGAAGAAGAAGAAAAAACCAGTTGCTACATATGCGACGGTTCAAAAAGCTATTAAAATGAGGCAAAAAATAGGAAACAAACAAGGCCTATGCCATTGTTCGACGACCATTATTAGGAGAAAACAATGGTTTTGAATAGTGATTTTAGAAGAATATGTGGTTAAAATGTTCATATTGTCCACGTAACAATATCCTTGTACAACATTGAAAAACAAAATGTTAATTTTTGTGAGAAATTGTTATTGTCTAGCAAAAAAAAAATTGATAATATAATAGTGATGCATACAAATCAAGAATAAAAAGTATGCGTATAAACATTAAAACACGTATTCATAAATCTTGTGCTGCTGTTTGATTTACGTCTTCTTTTTCTTCCTCTTTTCTCTAGATTATGGGTTCTGTAAAACTTGACATTGCTGTTGATGGACAAATTGTAGAGAGCGAGAGGAGAGGAGAGGAGGAGAGCAAAGCTTGTAAGGTTAGGTAAAGGTATTTACCTTCCTTTTGGCCTCCTTAAAATTACAATTCATTTTTCTTTTTACTTGTCAACCATACATTCTCCAATAAAATAACATTACACGTAAACAAAAAAAAAATTGCTTCCTTTTTAACTCATATTTTTCAAAAAAATATTTTTCAAAAAATCATAATCTCAAATAATGAAGGTCAAACGAATGCTTAATAGGTGGGTGAGGGTGCTTACGAGGAAGAATTATGCTTCTTCTAGTTCCTTGTTAACATAAGTTTGACATCACCCATGTGTAAGAAGCTCAAGTTTAATGAGGATTAAAATAAGATTTTTAGTAGATTTTGATAGAAGATGAAATGTGTAATTAGAAAGTTGTGGAACCTATAAATATGTGATTGAAATGAATTGTTAATTTCGACTTAAATTAAAATCTAGATTTTAATAAGTACCAAACATGAGTGAAATTTGGCCATTGATTGGGAAAAATGTTGTTAAAATTAATGTAAAAAAATATGCCAACTCACATGATGTCAAACTTGATATATATATGAAAAAATTACCTCAAACCCTACTTTTCAAAATTACATTTCAAAAACAAGGTGATAAGTTTACATTTTCAAAATTCAGGTGGTAATTAATATTTTATAATTATAATTATTAAAATTTTAAAACCTTCATTTATCATTTTCCTCCCAACCCTCAATCCCTCATCGTTTTCTCTCTCTCTCTCTGGCCTCAACGTGTCTCTCTCCTCTCCGTCGCTGTCTTCTACCTTTTCCCTCACCGGCGACGCTGGTGCTCGAAGTGGTGGATGGTGGGACGATGACACTCGAAGATCCAGTCAGGTCGCATATCCATCCGTCTCTGTCCTTCATCTCATCCGCCGTCGCCGTCGCCGTCTCCTCCCTCTTTTCTACCTGAAATTATCTTCTCCATCTTCTCTCCTCCCTCTTTTCTGCCTGAAATTATCTCCTCCATCTTCTTTCCTCCCCGTCTCTGTGCTCAGCCACCACCGTCGCCACCGTCTCCTCTCCCCACTCTTTTCACAACGTCTAGAGTAAACTAATTAGTAGATGGAGAAGCTGTCGAAGTTTTCCCCTTCGGTGGAGGCTCCAATTTTTGGGTTCTGGAGTCAGGACTTCACATGGCAGCTCGACCTTTTCAGACTCCTGACATGGGGATTCGGATGGTGGCACCACTACTCTTTCAGCTTTTTGGAACTGGTGTTTCTATGGAGGCCATGTAAATTTGCTGTCAGACGTCATTATACGATAGCTTACTTGTTTTTTGCCAGTAACCTTCAGTCTGGTTATAAATCTTCCACTGAGCTCCAATTGTCCAACCTCATCCACTTCTCGCATGATACTGTTTGCAATTTCTCCATTACACTTTCAAATAATAAAAATCAATGTTTATTATATTTTCTGAAATGTCTGTAGTTGCTATTTTGTGGTTTGATTTAAGTTTCAAAGTTTTGTCCAGATCTGAAATTTCCATATGTTTTCACACTACCCATAGTAACTATTAATGATAATTTGTGGGAGCTTTAGCCGGCGGCAATAACCATTAATTGTGGTCATGGTAGTGGAATGGGAGGAGATTGTGGCTGGGTGAGTGTGTGAATCGGAGAGGCGGCTGATTTGTGGGTGTATGGCGGATTGGTGGTGAAAATTCTATTCTTCCCGGTTATCTTCCTTTTCTACTATGGAAATGAGTTAATTATCAAGTGAAAGATTCATTGGATGAGATTCTTTTGATTTGGGTCCAAATTCTTATAGAAATGAGGAAATAATTTCTCTCAAACACAGGCTAAATTTTAATTTATGAGCAACTAGGTCATTTCTCTTGGGACTTGTGAATTAATGGCATTGATATGCGGTCAGTCAAATGAGTAAGATTGTGGTGTTGGTCTGTGGTGTAAGCGGGTGACCATTTGTGACCAAATTTTAGTGCACTATGACTGGTTGTGACTAGTTTTGTGCTAATTGTGACCGATTGTGACTTGATCATATTCAAGTCATATTAGGTCACAATTAACACAAAATTGGCCACAAATAGTCACACTTAATACACATTTGGTCACAATTAGTCACATTGATACACATTTGGTCACAATTACCGGAGTGTCACTGGAGCAGTCACCGGATCGTCGCCGGAGCTGTGCAGCCATCGGACCGGTGACCCTCGTCGGAGCAGTTGCCGGACGTCGCCGGAGCGGTGCCGAAAATGGAGGGAAGGTGGTGTAGTGGGGTGGGTGAGGTGTCATAGGTATAAATAATTAATATATATATTATATTATAATTTAATATTAATAAATCTATTTACCACCCGATTTTTGAAATAATTAGACAAATTTGTTAGTTTTGAAAAGTAATTCTTATTTGTAGGTTTTGTGTACTGTTCCCTATATATATATAGCATAATTGTAGTTTTTAAACTTTAAAGGGCCCAACTCAAGTTTCGACTAAAATTAAGCTCTCTCCACCAATCCACCCCAACTAAGCACGCCTCTTGTGATGATGTTTAGTTCACATTCCATAAAGAATAATGCTATTTGTATATAATGAAGTTAGATAATGATTTACATACAAACGAGGTGTCAATAAGAGAGTGATTTTTTTTTTATTTTATTGAAAAAATTCTGACTCAATCATATCTTAATATGTTATGTATATGTAAACCATTATGTACATGTTGCATAGCTATTCCATAATACCTAAAGTCTCAAATTAAGCTCTTGTTTGGACACCATTTTAATTTGATAGATTTTTCTTTTTCTCCATTTTCAACAACACATTTTTTAATATAACAAATATTACACATAAATTTAAAATTTTTCCTTACTTTCCAATCACGCATTCTCTAAAAAATTACTAGTCAAAAATACATTTTTCTCGTAATTTCAATAAAATGGAGCTCAAACAAGAGATAAAGCCCGTGTTTGGTAGAGATTAAAATCAGTTTTTTAGTAAATTTTGATAAAAAATGATGAAATATGTGGTTAAAAAGTTATGGGATCCATAAAATGTGTTAATTATCGACTTTAACTTAGATTATACAAAATGTTGCATTCTTACATCAAGAGTAGGCTAAGTTTGAATCGTGTTTAAGCTCTTCTAACACAATTGAACGGTGAGAGTGAAAAGAGCTTTGTCTTGGTTCTCTTCCATGACCGTTGGCTAGCGCTCTCTTATCTAGTTTGTCTATCGAGAAATAAAAAATTATAAATAAATTTCATGATTATCACTAGAGATGCACTTAGAAATAACATGGTAATGCTCTTATATTTCCTTGTTTTTCGTGCATAGTATACTCAAATCATTTTGCATTATTTCATTTTAAACAATTTGTTTATACTTTGACCTTCAAGAGAGATGAAGTATAGAACTCGATTATAAGCATTGTATTTGTAGTTATCTTCATGATCACATCACATAGACAATATTAAGAAATTCATTATATCATGGAAGCATATTTATATTTTCGAGTGCATCACATAATTGGTCGAGTCAAGTAACATCTTGAGGAAAGATATGCTCCAACTAGCTTTGAAACCATCATTAACAAAGTTTGAAGGAAACATACACCAACACAATAAATTATTATTTTCCAAAAATAGGTGTTTTGGGATGATATTATTTTATATTTTTGTCATCTATAATCAAAATGTTGATTTTATTTTTGTGATAATTGAATCATCCAAAAGGCACAAAGTTTTAGCCAAACCTCTAATTTGTAGCAACATTGATCTCAAACATTTTAAATTGGTGCGAAGATGTGATCTTTAGATGATTTGCGTCCAAAAATTTAGCTGATCAAAAGACTGAATTTGAACACCGAATGGGTCAAACACCAATCAACTCATTTTGTCTTGCCCTAACAAGCGACAAATTAAAAATATAAGTACTACTTCGATATAATTGAAACAAGTCAAGCAGATTTGAGCGACTTTGCAAGGTTTCAACCCTTCAATTGCCAAACGATGGCGTGGCGATGGCAGCAAAAAGGGGAAGGCGCATACAAAGAACGGGCGGCGATGCTTTAATATGCCCTTCAAGACTTGACATCTGTCCATTTCTTGTCTCTCTTTCTGCATTCATTTAATCAATTAAAAATGTAGTATTTTCGATTTTATTAATACACACTTTTATTCCCGTGCTTTTTCTAGATTCAGCCAAAAATTAATTTACTTACTACTAGTAGAAAAGCAAAAATGATTATTTAATTGTGAGAGACCTCATTTTTTAATTGTTTCTTGATTATTTAATGATTTATTCTCTGTTCTTAGCTGATTTTAGTTTAAAGTGGGTCTGGAGATGATGGGTTTGTTCTTAACCTTTCTCGTAAATGGAAAAGATTCTGGTTACAACTTTTAATTAGTTTTTCCACTTATTATTTTCTTGGTTGTATAATGAAGCAAATTAAGAAGTGATTATTGGTTGAAATAGTGTTATCTATAGACATAAAGGACGCCAAGATTTCAAGAAGGGGTTGACTTGGGTTTGCCTTAGCTCCAGGATACTCAGGTTTTATGTGAAAAAGTGCCATCTTTTTCAGAAGTTTCTTGTGATTCTTGAAACTTTGCCCTTCCTTTGCTGTCCAAGGTTTCTTTCACACGAACCCTATAGTTTTTTCTCATTTCTTGTGTTTGTTGTTAAGGATAAAGGGCCGACCTTAATTTCACTGTTTGCCTATATATATTTGGGTAATTCGATTGGATTTGTAGGATTTTTATTATTTTTTGTTCGTGTTCCCAGTATTTGATGATGATATTTGTTACAAATAGTATTATTATATTTTTGGTCACCAGATTTGACTACCCATTTCACTTTTAAGCCTCTTTAGGTTTAATTGGATGCTCTAAACAACCGTGAATTAAGAGTTCTTCATATAGCTAGCTGTATATATATTCTCTCGAGGAATGGAAAACGGTTTATTGAAACCCCTATATTTTTATTTTGAGATTTCCATCGATATTGGCGGAAGACGATGAATTAATTTAACAATGACAAGTAGTGTAAGTTTAGATGGGCAGGAGGTTGACATTTACTACTGTTTCAAAAGTGATTTAGATGGAGGATATGTATCTGGCAGTTTCCGTGCCATTTGAATTGGGCAATTTGATTTGTTATAATCCGAGTGTAGAAAGCTGCATCGATGTTACTAGCTTAGAGTTGAAGGCTAACACCACTAGTCTCATTTTGAATTCCTCAACTAAAAGCTCGATGTCCAATCCTGTCGACTCTGATAACGAGGATTGCAGTTCCAGTGATTTGGAAAGTGAAGTTCGGGCTACAGTGTTGTTGGGGACTGAAGAGGGTCAGGGCTGTGGGGATGCCACACTCACTACGGATATTGTAGTCCAGGAAAGTGAAGAGGATAGCTTATCGTCATTGGACTGGGATCCAGTTCTTGATAGCTCATGTTCTCTGTCTGTGGTGAGTGATACTAGTAGTATATGCGGTGATGATTTCATAGGTTTCGAGGCAAATTCTGAGATAGGAACGACCAATTTTGTAGAAGTCGAGAAGAGTACAGGTGAATATGAACTTATAGCAAATACAACAGATTTGGGTGAGCCAACTGTTGGTGAGATCATTGGTAATTCTATACCTGTGGCAGTAGGAGCTGGGCGTGAGGTTCCAAATGGTTCGAATTCAGAATCAACAGTTGTTATTCAGTTGGACAGAACCTCTAGTGAAAGAGTCAGGCGAAGTGTTTTTCAGGTGGATTGTGTGCCACTCTGGGGATTCACATCTTTGTGTGGGAGGAGACCAGAAATGGAAGATGCAGTTGCAACAGTGCCTAGGTTTCTCAAAATTCCTCTGCAGATGCTAATTGATGATTGCTTGCTTGATGGAGAGAGACAACGTTTGAGTCATTTGATGACCCATTTCTTTGGAGTCTATGATGGCCACGGAGGCTCTCAGGTCTCTCTCTCCCTCCCCCTTACACTCTCACATGTGAACACACATTTGGAGTCAAATAGGCTTGTGTTTGGCACCCATTTTGGGAAAAAATGAATTTTGGAATAATGATTGATGCAAGAATGTGTGGTTGAAAAGTAATGAAAAGTTTTAGATTTGTGTGTAATATTATTTTATTTGGAGAATGTGTGGTTGAAATGAAGAAAGAGAAAAAAAATGAGAATGAGTGTCAAACAGGGCCTAGATGTTACAGATTAAATCTTAAACCCTAACTTCAATAGCAATAGTAAATGGAATAGCAATCAGAAACCAACAAAAACACATGAATTTATGGAGTTCATCGCTTGTGTAAGAGTTATGTCCACCCGCAATTGAAATTTTTTCATTATAATCAAGGAGTTTTACAACGGGAGATCTGACAGCTCTCTGTTTTTCTGGCATGCATAGGAAAACTGCCCTCCCTCAAATTCTTTAATATGACATAGGAACTAAGGAGACCTGAAAACAAAAGTGTGAATGCCCTATAATAGACACCCTTCGTTGACAACCATGAAATTGTTGTGTTTGAGAAATGTAATTGGCATCTTATTTTCAGGTTGCAAATTACTGTTGGGAGCGAATGCATATGGCTTTGGCAGAGGAACTGGAAATAATTATGGCCGATCCAAATGATGTTAGTAGTAAAGGTAACTGCCAAGAGCAGTGGAGAATAGCATTCACGAAGTGCTTTCTCAAGGTTGATGACGAAATTGGAGGTAAAGCAAGTAATGAACTGGTCGCTCCGGAAACTGTTGGCTCAACTGCTGTTGTTGCGATAGTTTGTTCATCACACATTATAGTAGCTAATTCTGGCGATTCTAGGGCAGTCTTATGTCGTGGGAAAGAGCCCATGGCATTATCTGTGGATCATAAAGTAATTATGCAAGTTTCATCTTAAAGCACGTTTGGCTGTTTAAGTTACTTATTTTGTCAAACATGATTTTCATAGTAACTTATTTTACTAACTTATTATTCTATAAAGTAACTCTCAACTTACTTCCTACAAAAGTTATATTTAAGCACAGCCAAACATGCTATAAATCTACTTTTAATTTGTACTCTTTACGAGCTAATTTTCTTTTGTTTCCTGTTAGCCTAATAGGGAAGATGAATATGCGAGAATTGAAGCAGCTGGAGGAAAAGTGATACAGTGGAATGGGCATCGTGTTTTTGGTGTCCTTGCAATGTCTAGATCTATTGGTACAACTTTCATAGCCTTTATCTTTTCTGTCATTCCCGTTCTGTCTGTTTCAAATTAGTGTGCATCATAACTCTCCTGCTCGCTTACCTGGCCTCTTTAAGGGACATTTTTCTCTTTCTTGTAGTCATAGAGTCCATTATGAATTGAACAACTGGGCATTGATAGCTTTTTTTATTCGAAATATTTCATGGTATTAAAATCTACTATAGCCTATATACTATCATATCACAATATGATTCATGAAATATATGCTCTGTAATGAGATGTCAATTTGCTTTGCTTTTTATTGTTAAAATCTGAACTTAAGGTTTGTTGAAGAGACGTTGACGAGTATTCTGGAAGTCCTAGAAATGTTCTGCAATGTAGATAGTATAAAATATAAATGATGTAGGCCATTCGTAGGATTTCTTGCTGATTTTAAAAATTCTTATTTTGATTGATCATCTCATTAAATGCAAATATGTGGAGTTAAACACCATTCATAATGATTAGTTAGATATAAAATGAAAGATCATTTGTGGGCCTTGTTTTACTATTTGCTGTCAGTTGATTTAGGAGACCATTTTGTTTTCCTGGTTCTATTTGCCTTCATTCCTGGTGCGGATGGAGTCGGGTGGGATGGGGAAGTTTGGCATGCTAGGAAAAATGGCAAATCACTTGTGGCTTGTTTGGTTGGTGTACGGATAGACAGTTTTAAGAAGAAATCTATGATCTTGTATGTTGTACCACATATTTTTGTTAAATACTACATACCAAACATACCCCTTAAGAGTAAGTCGTTGCTGAATAAAATCGCGAAGGGATGAAAGAAGATAGTTGATTATTAAATTGGGAATCTCAGTAATATTTGCTTTTGATTAGACATTTATTGAGACTGTGTCAAAATTTAAGGGGCTGCCACGCATTTAGGAGCTTAAAAAAAAAAAAAAAATTTCTCCCTTTCCTAACCCCACAACCCCTGAAAAGAAAAAAGGAAGAAGTAAGTAACAAAAGAAAAAGGAAAAGACGAAACCTACAGTGAGATGCACCTTCACCATCACTAATGCAAATCCCACTGGAAGCTTGGCAGAACTAAGAAAGCAATGTATATTTGAGTCTCCAATTTGAAACATAGCCCCTGTTAGGTCTACAATAAAATTCCATGTCAAAGCTAACAGTTAATTTTAATCTCACGTTTTATGGGACCCACAACTTTTCAACCACACATTGTATTAATTATTATCAAAATCTACTAAAAATTTGATTTTATTCTACACCAAACGGGTATATTATATTTCCCTCTCATAACATGTTGCCTTCATCGTTCAAGTGAGAAGATACTAAAATTGGATGGCACACAATAGTTAAGAAAACTGAACTCTTTGTTACCGGTACTGGTTACTAGATTGCATTGCTAGAATAAAGAGGTTCGTGAATTGCTTTTTTGATATCTCAGTAATAATAATCTTATAATTAATATTGGATGATTTCGAACCATCTTTGTACCACGTCAGCCATTGTAGGACTGTAAATTTCACCATGGTGTACTTGTAAGTTGATTTAGTCGGTGGTGCATTGCAATTGAAATTTATAGTTAAAACATATATGCACATTAAAGTATAATCTTGTTTGTAAATTGTTTTGGAAAACTAGCATTTTAGTTTGTTTAATTTTTCTTGGATGTTGCAGGGGACAGATATTTGAAACCTTGGGTTATTCCAGATCCCCAAGTGGTCTTTATTCCCCGAACTAGGGAAGATGAATGCCTCATTCTGGCTAGCGATGGTTTATGGGATGTCATGAGCAATGAGGAGGTTTGTGACATGGCCCGTAAAAGGATACTCGTCTGGCATAAAAATAACTGCGTCACTCTTCCAGTAGAAAGGGGTGAAGGAATTGATCCTGCAGCTCAAGCAGCAGCCGAGTATCTATCGAACCGCGCTCTTCAAAAGGGCAGTAAAGATAACATTTCTGTAGTTGTGGTGGACTTGAAATCGCAAAGAAAGATTAAGAGCAGAAGCTAACATAAATTTTTTACTCGTTTGACTGTTAAGCCCCTTATTTTTCGACAAGGGTTTTGATATCCTTTGTTATCTGTTATCATTTGAGACATGCCAAATTCTACTAATATGTATATCTTAGCTATTTTGAAGTAGGATAGGATTCTGAGAAGCTCTTGCGAGTAGTGCATTATAGTCATTTTGCTTCCGAGCTAAAGGCTCTGTGAGGTGCATCACTTTTGTGTTATTTGAAGAATCTGGTGCTGTGTAAACAGAGCAAATCTTGGAGTTAAATCCTCGTTTCTTGTATAATCTAGTCATGTTCAAGTATAATCTGTCATACAAGTTCTACATATTGTATGGTTGGTACCATATATTAAAGATGTACAGGTTTTTATACATGGTAAAGATGTTGGAAATCTACCGTTCACAAATACACAAACAGAAGATTGCAGCCAGCCTCGGTCAGAGTATGATACCAGTATTTTGGAAAGGAGGTTTTAAGTGAAAACGAAACATAATAATAAAAAAACTTGAGCTGATGTCATAATTTAGTAATTCGGTAATCATGGAACACCGCCGAATGGTAGAAAATTTGCAACTGTATGTTCTCCGCCATATGGACTAATTTTCTTTTCAGGGTATTCGTAGTTCGTGAATTTACGACTATCATTTCTTCGGGGAAGAGGAAGCGGGAAACCATCCATTCTTCTCCATCGTTGTACCCGAATAATTCAGCAACTGCAATGAAAAATGTTCTCCAATAAACAGTCCACTTGACAGCTGAATCTTTGCCATAGTCGATTCCATTATTAGTTTCACAGAATTCGAGTTCTGGTCCATTCTTTTGAACTACTCTTCGCAGCAAGAGGAATTGCTTGATCAGCATTTCCATAGGATTCAAATCTCATTCTGGAAAATTTGCTTGGAAGGATAAACGTCATTAACATGTTTGGGCGTAATGCTTTCCGTTAACTAGCCAGTGATCAACTATAGACGCGTCATCCTGCATATTAAACATCAACCAGAACCAGCAGTAGCTAGTCATACTTGGCGTCAAAGTTCCAATCATAATTCTATCATCAATGAAATTAGAGCCCTTATGCTAAAATAAAACCCTGAAAAGCACATTTCTAATTTTCTTTTAACCAGATTGAACCAAATACTCAGTAATTATTTTGTGTTTTAGTGGGATAATGTTCTTTAGTCTCTTTAGGGAAATATAGGATCGTGTAGACGTTTCTTTGAAGCATTGAATTAATAGTTTCTTCATTTCTCGTATCCTCGTTTAATTTGCCTGCATCTTATGATGCAGCATAAGCTCATTTTCAAGGGGACTAAGAACAATTGATCTCCATTATAATTCTAGATTGTAGAGTGCATTTGAAATGGCTTTCAGCATGACACGAGGAGATTATTCATTGGAGAGAGAAACTTAAAAAAGGAAGTGGAAGGGAGAAATCGAAAAGAAATATAATCTGATGTCATTTTCAAGAATAGATTTGTGGTAAGCTCACCTGAAAATAAAGGAGTAAGCAGATGGCATCCTGCCTCCATCGAAGAAGTACCGAGTGATCCAATCGTCTTCATTGACATCCTAGAAAAGAATTATAGAGATGGTTATGTAGTCTATTTTTGTATAAACTTAGCTGAGAACAATTCAGTAGCGAAGTTGACAGGAATTAACAATATCTAATGTCCTTCTACTTTGAGTTTCAAATGATGGAATAGAAAAATAATCACGAAAGATTACCTCAAAGTGGTAAGCAAATGTTTTATGGCAGAATAACTGGACAAACAGAAGAACATCTGGTTTCATCCACCTGATATCTTCTTAAGAAGGTCCCAATAGTTTTTCATATGCTGTTTTTTGAAAAACAATACAAGTTCATCAGCCATGCCAACAAACCCCAAACTTCATAGCCTAGTTTAGGACATGACAATGATTAAGAGTACCTCAAACATTCCAACGGAAAATATTCTTTCATAGGAAGCTTCCATATCGAATGTGTTAATATCTGCAACTATGATATCGACATTCTGCACTTGAAGATCCCGGTGAGGCAGAATAATTAATCTCAGACAAATGTCTCTCCCCAGGTTTGGTTTTGAGGAAGAATATAGGGAAAGAACAGGCAATTAATATAGGCCTTAAAGTTGTAAATATACACAAATAGATGGATCTTGTTCCAGTTTCCGAGGGGAGCTGATAGTGGTATAAGAAGTTTTTAAAAAATTATCATACAAATGAAATAGGGTTTAAGGAAATCTTGATGGATTACCTTAAGAAACTAAACCAAGTTTTGATCATAATAAATCATTTAGTTACTAGTAAGTCAGTGAAGTTTGAGCATTTCAGAATTGGAATGATTCCAGAAAGATACACCACATATGAAACATCCAATGTCAACTTCACATGTCAAAGTTTTGCTGAGATTCAAATTAGACTAATTAGTTATAACACTTCACAGGTTCAAGGCTATGCATCATACATCCACGGCGGGAAGGAAAGCGAAGCATTGTTGAGTTATATTTCACAACGTAATCCTTGTTAAATGGACAATATTTTGTAGAAATAATGGAAAGCAAGGAAATTAATGCTAAACTATCATTATATAGGGAATCTTTTTCTAAACAAATCAAGAAAACTGCCGTGTAGTGTTTGACATGAACCAGTCTAAAAACACGATAGAATATGTAGCATATGAAGGTCAATCAGGAAGCATTTTATGCCTGAGCAGCATCTTTTATATAAGATAAAAATAAAATATCAAGGAAAAGTACCGGCATTGCTCCTGAATGTATGCTTTCAGGGTCACTCAATTGCAAATCCATGTAATCTGGCAATTACAATATTTCTGTGCAATGTATAGAACAAGTGATCATCAGCCACATCCAACATCAAGAACAGTATGGCCATCTTGAGTTTGCGACCTCCCACAGCACAGCTCTAACATTGCCTTTTCAGCATCCTCTAAGGTGCTTGACTTGTCTGGAAAGAAGCAGCAATTGCACTAAATCAAGCATGCATAAGTTGATTAGCTCCCAATACAGAGTCAATGATTCAAAGAATTTAACATGTAACACAATCTTTAGTGCGGGACAGTTAGAACTTAGAAGAGAAAATCATAAATAATTGAAAAAGAGAAAAAATCAGGAGGGTCTACGAAAATATGCATAACTTTCAACTCGAATGTCGGATTTTCCTCTGTGAGTACAATTTGGAAGCTTTTTGTTATTCTGTACATATATAAATTTTTGACATTGTCAAATTTCAGGGTCAAATTCCATCGTTTAGAGCTCTATTTTAGCATATTTCTATTTTGAGTCTGTTTAAGGGTAATTCGTCATTTTTACTGTATTTTAGTTTTATTAGGTTTGTTTAATAGTTTTTTAGTTTATTTGGATTTATTTATAGAATTAGAATTCCACTTTGATTAGAAATTGTTTTAGTCTATAAATACGCATTAAAGTTGTAAACATAATTCACAAGATTCTTGATTAATAAAATATTTTAGTTTTTTGGTTTATTGGTGGATTCCAATATTTATTTGGCGGATTCTAAATAGTCATCATGTCCATTCAAGTGAAATTCAAACAAACACCTATTCGTGTGTTACGAACAAGACATTTTTATTATTATTCACGTTTCCGTCCTGCATCAAGTGGTATTAGAGCCGACTTTTCCATTTCTATATCTTTGATTCATAAGCATGGGTGATGTACTAGTTACTAGGGCAGATTTGGACGCAACAAATTGACGGCTTGATGATCTTACTACAAGATCGAAGAGTTTTGTCAATTGTTGTTATGAGTTGTTGGAAACAATAGGTAGGATCATCAACCTGGCAATAAGGAAATCAACCATGAACAGATCACGGAGCCTCTAGTTTTGAGAGAAAATAACAGGAGACTTGCAATAGAAAAAAAAATCGAATGTCAGATATAAGGAAGAGAAAGACGACGACTATCTCAATGAAGTTTGTGGAGAAGAACATAGAAATTTTGTGTATAATGTAGAGAAAATTTTATGCTCACCTAAGCATGAAGATTTAACTCAGAGTGAAAAGATCTTTTAAGCCAATGATGTTGTTTGCAGTCAGATCATAGACAATTGCAATTGTGAGAATCTGATCATGAAGAAGCTGGTGTTTTATTTGAAGTTGCCAAATGAACCACATCTAGATCCTTATCAGATTGGATGGATTAAGAGAGGTTTGTCTATTCAACTTACTTAAATTAGAAGAAAAACTGAAAAAAGAGAAGAAGTCAGACAGCTATTATTCGTGAACACAGCAGAATGTTTTTCTTATTTTTCTAGTTACAGAATACTAAGGTCCACGCCCTCTATTTAAACACAAGGAAACTAGATTATAAAAAAAGGACAGTATAGAAGGTAGCATAAAATCTGCAGCAATCATTCCTCTGTTTGAATCCGAGATTAGCTCAATGATACCATTGAATCTCCTTCATCCGTCCCACAAATCATGCTCAGCTGCTGGTTACCATTTTGGGCTGAAGTTGCTGCCTTTGAGTCTCCTTCATCAGTCCCACAAATCATGCTAAGTTGCTGGGTTTCCTTATCACTTCTTTGAGTCCCACAAATCACGTTGAGCTGCTGGATTGCGCCAATACTCTCCCTCAAACTGTGCCGGGGTTGGAGGCAGAGTTTGGGTAGAAAACGATTGAGTGCAGCTTTTGACATTGGTTTGGTGAAGAGATCTGCTACTTGATTTGAAGTGGAGATATGTTGAGTGATGAGAAGTCCAAGTGCAACTCTTTCGCGCACAAAATGGTAATCTAACTCAATGTGTTTGCTACGAGCATGAAACATCGGATTTATAGTCATATGAAGGGCACTTATGTTGTCGCAGTAGAGAGTCGGTGTTGACGCCAATGGAATGTGAAGATCTTTAAGGATAAATGACAACAATGTAAGTTCGGCTGTTGTGTTTGCCATGGCTCGATACTCCGCTTCTGTGCTCGACCGAGAGATACTATGTTGTTTTTTTGCGCACCAGGAGATGAGATTTCGTCCAAGGAAGGTACAGTACCCAGTGGTGGATCGTCTCATGGTAGGACACCCTGCCCAATCTGCATCAGAAAAAGCATAAAGATCAAGTGTGGTATTGGAAGAAAAATGTAAACCTGTGTCAATTGTGCCTTTAACATATCTTAAGATACGACGAACCATTTTTAAATGCATGACAGTAGGAGCATGCATGAATTGTGATGCATAATTAACATTGTATGAAAGATCTGGTCTTATGAGAGTGAGATATTGTAAAGCACCAACAAGGCCTCTGAAATAACTTGGATCCTCGAGCAGGACATCATTTGATGAGGTCTTGGTTTTGGCTTCAAGTGGTGTGCTCATAGGCTTGCAATTGACCATGTTGGCTCTTTCAAGAATGGTGAGTGCATAGTGAGATTGAGACAGGTGAAGACCATCAGATGTTTGAGAGATCTTGATGCCAAGAAAGTGATGAATTTGTCCCAAGTCCTTCATCGCAAATTCTGAGTTTAATAGTTGAATGAAGGATGATACAAGAGCTGTTGAGGAACCTGTGAGAAGTATATCATCGACATAGAGAAGAAGAATTAGTGTTCCAAAATTGGAATGAAAAATAAACAAAAATGGGTCGGCTAGGCTACAAAAAAATCCATATTTAAGAAGGAAAACACTAAACCGATCAAACCAAGCACAAGGTGCTTGTTTGAGACCGTAGAGAGCCCGTTGAAGCTTGCACACATGGTTTGGATGTTCAGGATCTACCATTCTCGGAGGTTGTTCCATGTATATGTCTTCTGAAATTAAACCATGAAGTAATGTATTTTTTTACGTCAAGTTGACGTATGGACAACCTTTTGACAAGAGCAATAGTAATG